CCCCCCAGTACCCGGGAATTAGTTACTTGGGTTTAGGACTTCTTAGGGTTTAGGGTTTAGAACTTCTTAGGGTTTAGGGTTTAGGGCTTTTTAGGGTTTAGGGTTTAGGACGTTTTAGGGTTTAGGGTTTAGGGTTTAGGACGTTTTAGGGTTTAGGGGTTAGGGTTTAGGATTTGTAGTAGTGTTTCTAGTCTTTGGGGGCTGTCGCTGATTATTATTGGATACTTGGACCCCGAGAATTTATAGTTTGTCGGGTCAGTCCCTAGAAACACTAAACACTGGACCGTTACCGTCTTTAGGGTCTGGCCTGGCTTGAGGTTTTCTGGGAGCTGTAGCGTGTTGAGTTCTACGGCTTGGACTTCGTGTTCAAAGCTCATGCTCAGTCGTCTCCCGGGACCCCCTCAAACCCTGAACCCAAACGTTTAAAGTCCTGAGCCCCAAAGCCAAGATCAAACTTGAATCCCCGCCAACGTTACGTCCAGCCTCAAACCCTATAATACCCGGACCTCTATTGCCCTCAACCGCAAAGCTCAAAGCCTCTAAGCCGTCTATGAAAACCTCACAACCTCAACTTCAACCCAACCCTACCCTAGTAAAACAACATGTGGATGTAATTCATATAGTACGTAGTCGGTCAAGTTATGACAAGAAAGTCAACTCGCTCTCTTTATTCCCAGCTCCTTTCCCCTGCAAGTCGGACGCGGATGCGGCGAAGGAGGTGCCGCTAACGCGCGGCCAAGCTTCAAATCGCATGGCGTGTATAGGCTGTAGCTTCCAGACCGGAGGGGTGTGCGATTTCGCCCTAACCCTCCCTAAACCCTAAACCCTAAACCCTAAACCCTATATAAATTAATGAGGGTACTAGAGCCTTTGGGGCCCCTGTATAGTAGGTACCTGGAGGGTTAGGCTAGGGTCACGTCGTGTCACGGTCTGAAGATTTTGGGTTGAAGGTTCACAGGCTTTGCAACATTAAGGTTTGGGGCTACCCTAAACCCTAAACCCTAAACCCTAAACCCTAAGAACCCTAAACCCTAAACCGTGGCTCTTTAGGGTTTAGGGTTTAGGGTTTAGGGTTAGGGCTTTTGCGTTTACAAGTTTCGGGTTTCTGGTTTTCGGTTCCCAGGTCTGAAAAGATGTCGCATTTTGGACTTGGGTAGTTCTCTAACTTAGGGTCCATTTTAGGGGTCCTTTTTATAAGGGTGCCGTACTATATCTTGGGGACCTAAAAAGGGACCCTAATTTGGAGAACTACCCATGTAGCATTTTGGACTTAGGCTTTGGGAGTGGGTTTGTCTGCACCTACATCTCCAAGCACAGAACCAGTTTGCCCAAAGTTTGCTTCCGTTCCGCGCACGAGAGAGTGTTTGTAGAATAGGACCTATACTATAGTCTCCATTGTAGATCCTTTTCTTGGTTTAACCAATTATCTATTCAGGACTATAAGGTATCCCCAAGAAGGAACTACTATGGTGACTACAGGGAGTTAGATATTTTCCGGAGTTTGAGGCTCACCGATGCCCTGCCAAGGAAGCGCAGCCGACGACGGCGATGTCGTGTGCACCTGCGGCCAGCTACGCACGCGGGCGTCGAAAGCTCCTGATAGGGTCCTTCCATGCAGGCAGGAATCAATCAGTGTTCTACACTACAGGACATACCTGTTTTAGGATGCCGAGTGCTTTCAATTTAATCGGCGATGCAGCAGCGGGTGTTGATGAAAGGACACAAATTGAAGGCTTGGTGCTCATGGACTACTGTGGGATCCTTCCGGAAGCGGATCCGAAATGGAGACTCCAAATCCACACACCCCTACCCCTAGATCTTAGGGTTCTAAGGCCAAGGACAAACATAAGCCTTTCCAAGGCAACTGAGCCCCGAAACTATGAATGCCAAACCCTCCACTCAGTTTCACCCACCACTTATCCCTGGCACGAGCTTCCGGCTTCAGGCATTGCGGGGACGGAGCAAGGGCAGCGAGTGAGCTTGCTAAGTGATCCCGCACGCGCGGCATATGGACCCAGCTTTCAAGAAGGGTTTATCGATTTGGCTTTCCTAGAACCCTAAGCCTTAAACCCTTATCCCCAAACCCTAAACCTTAAACCTTAAACCCTGAACCCCGAACTCTAAACCCTAAACCCTATAATCCGTAACCCCTTATAAGGCCTCACCCTTAAACGAGTAAACTTTCTCATCTAAGTGCACAGAGACAGCGGTGGAAAGCGGGAGCTTCAAATGGTTCAGGCCCCTACAGCTACATTGCAGGGCTTGATGACTGTTGGGAATCCAGGGCTTTTTGCAGAGCTCTACAGGGCTTCGGGTTTCGGGGGTTGGGGCTTCAAAACTCTAGCGCTACCTGGCTGAGCACATACGCGTACTGGGCTAAAATTTTACCTATACTAGTTTGGTGGTTCCTTAATAGAGTTAGAGTATAATATACCCCAAAATCTAATTCTAATTAATAAGGCTACCAAGGCCCCTACAATAGCTTGCCAGCTCGGTTCGGGGCAAAATGGCGGTTGGAACATGGGTGGGTGTTAGGACCTTCACGTCTAGGTTCGTGTTGCATTGCAGTGTGGCAAGGTCAACTTTGCAGTGTAGGCAGGGCACTGGGCCGATACTCCAATTACTGGTATGGCTTGGGAGAGAACATGCATCATCATGCTGCGAAGTGTTTCAATCAGTGCGCCGGGGTCAACTGCGTTAAGCCCTTGCTCCGTCGAGCCGCGCAATGCTATCTCGGACCTAGATTGCACTCCATATCTCTTGGACTGCCTATCTATCTATATATATATATAATATAATATAATATAATATAGATAGATAGATAGATAGATAGATAGATAGATAGTTATCCTTGTTTGTACGACCCGTTATATCTGAGCCACAGGCTCGGCTCTCCATAACAGGGCGTCGCAATAATTATAGTTTACCGATAGGCCCCAAAAGGAGTTCCTTTTTGGGACTACCTTTATAGGATTCTAAATACCTCAAAAAGGAACCACTATGGGGCCTATGGGTAGGGCATTACAGGACACAGGGGTCTGAGAACCCTAAACCCTAAACCCTAAACCCTAAACCCTAAACCCCTGAGAACTTCATCATCGCTTCCCAAACGGCCCTAAGGCTGGGGCCCTCCCGAGTCCCTGTTTGCAGCCCCCCTGGTTTCTCAGTGTTCTTGGCAGGGTTTTGGGGTTTAGGGTTTAGTGGGTTTAGGGTGTAGGGTTTAGGGTTTAGGGTTTAGGGTTTAGGGCTAGTTTTTAGGCACTTACAGTCTAGCGGTTGAGATCTTGGAAGATGGATTGCCGAGCCAGATGGAGCAAGGAGCTATGCCGAGGGCCCCGAAGCTTAGGCCCCAGTGGTTTTCAAGGACTGCGCCAAACTGCTTGAGAAGTGTGGGACGGTGCTTTGACCCTCTTCGGTGTAGGGAGAAACTATCACCAACAAGTTTGCTAGTGGGGTTTTCTATTGTTTTGGAGCTCATCGTTAACTGTGTAATGTGAACCTATCGTACCCATGACCCAGCCGCCAACTAAACTGAGAATACGGTCAAGTGCCCCCTAAAGCCCCAGAATGCTGCCGACATGAGCAACATGAGAGCAAGCCTACAAGCCCTGCACTCTAAATCTCCAAACCTTGACCTCGGACCCCTTAAAATCATGCCCAAACCTTAAACCCTAAACCCTGAATCCCAAACCCAAAAGCCCTGAACTCCTAAAACCCAAATCCCGAACCAACCCTAAACCTGGCACCTTCTGAAGCGGTCGCAGGCGTAGGGGAGCCCCCTCTCCTGCCGAAGGCAGAGCTTAGAGAAAAGGGAGCTGTCCTGAACCATCCGTTTAGGGTTTAGGGTTTAGTGTTTCGGGTTTAGGGTTCCAGGGGATCCTTAAGGGTTCCTTTTTGAAGTCCTAAACAGAAGGTTCATGAAGTTGGGTCTGGGGCTCACGGCTGGGAAATCGAGGGAGCAGCATTACATAGCCTTAGGGGTTTGGGGTTTAGGATTTAGGGCTTTACTGATGACTCAGTCCGTCTCAGGCCTCTAGATTCGGGCTTGGGGGTTCGTGGCTATGTAGGTCGACTCTACGGCGTTTCTGGGAGTCGCAGATCTGTCAACCCGCGTCCCTGAATGCCCATATAATAACCCTAAGCCCTAAACCCTAAAGCCCTAAACCCATAATGCAAAATGTAGATATAATAACCCTAAAGCCCTAAACCCTAAAGCCCTAAACCCTAAAGCCCTAAACCCTAAAGCCCTAAACCCATAATGCAGAATGTCGCACGGTTTTGGATTCTAAGTCCGCGCTGGTTGGAACTTGGGCGCTGAACTCGAAGGTCTGTACGGCACCAGCACCCTCCTGGTGCGGTAAAAAATAAATCGTCAATTAAACAAATATATAAATACATCAAGAGTTAAATAAATGAATACATAAATAAATAAATGAATAAATAATATATATATATATATATATATGTATATAGAGATATATAGATATAGATATAGATATAGATATAGATCTGTATATGCGGGTATACAGCCGTAAACGTGAAACGGCCCTGCACAGCCGCGTCTTCGAGCTTGTGAGGCCGTGTAGCACTGTATATAGACCATCTGTGTCCCAAACCCTAAACCCTAGACCCTAAACCCTAAACCCTATTCCCGCTAAACCAGCAAGTTCCCTTTCGTCATGCTCTCATACCGCTAGCACAGGGGCCGCAATAATTAGGGTTTGAGCTCAATGGCCTGCACATCCGCTACTGCTCTTGGATCAAACCAGATGTCGCCGAGGAGCTTTGGGATTGCGAAGTGCTGCATTGGCATAGGGCTGGTGAAAAGGCTGCAAAGGACTCAATTATGTCTTGTTCTTTGTCAACTTAAGACCTTTGCCAAAGCTTTGCGAAGCTGGCCACCCCAAAGTAAACCCCAACCCTACGCCCTAAACTTCCCTAAACCCCAAACCCCACGATCTTGGCATTGAGGGTTCGGGGATCATGGCGGGCTTGCAACCATGACGGTGGATCTTTCTGAACTCCGGCGCCAAGTTGCAGCGACACAGCAGAAGATACGAGAGGTGCCGCTGTCGAAGTGATATAACGGTTATATCCCCTAAACTCTAAGCCCTAAACCCTAAACCCATGATGTCGTGTAGCAATAAACCATGGAGTTGCCCTCAACTCTCGCGACCCTCCATCATCATATCCTGGTGCACGTAGCGAGGGTTTCCGGTTTGGGTCTATAGGGTTTCACACGGTGGATGTAGCTTCCCTTCAAGTTACGTATTGGAGTCAGCTGTTTGACACAAAAACTCCCCTAGAGCCTGTGTAGACCAAAATGGAGCTCATAAAACTATGTGAGCCGCTACGACCCCTTGAAGGAGAGGGTTTAGGGCTTAGGGGTTTTGGGCTTAGGGATGCTTTCGGTTTAGGGATTAGGGATGTTTTGAGTTTTGGGTTCAGGGACTCGGGTTTGTTTTCGGTTTAAGGATAAGGGATGTTTTGGGTTCAGGGAGTCGGGTTTGTTTTGGGTTCAGGGTTTATAGGGACGTTTTGGGTCTACCTTAACCAACCCAAACCCACGTTTTTGTAGGTTCTTATTATACACCCCAATATGGGATTTTTGGGGACCCTACAAAAACGTAGGTTCTGGTGGGTTAAGGTAGGGTGTATAGGGCTTGTTCAGAGCATCTCCAACCAGCTCCCATTTCAATAGGACCGTCTTAGCAGTGTCTCAGATCCTCTTGCGCAGCTCCCTTGTTGGCCTACGGTGGCACCGTTTACAGCCGCCACCCCCAACAGAAACTGCACCCTTTCACCTGGGTCGACCTCGGCCCTGTTTAAATAAAGCATTGCGGATGACAACTCGTGGCCTTTCTTGGCTATACCCATAGGCCCCATAGTAGTTCCTTTTTGGGATTACCTTATAGAATTCTAAATATGAATCCCAAAAAGGAACTTCTATGGGGCCTATATGGGCATAGCCTCTTAGAGCCGTGGCCCTGGGACCTTCCACGGGACCCTCGCCAGGCCGAGGAAGTTGGGGACGAAGAGCAAGTCTTGGACTTGACTTGCGAGCCTTGGCTTCATGGGGTTTTATGATTTAGGATCTGATCGGTTTAGGGTTTAGGGTTTAGGGACCCTGGTTTCATGGGTTTTATGATTTAGGACCTGATCAGCTAGCTTTATAAGCCCTATCATAGAAACCCTAAACCTATAGGGTTTTTACGCTCTTAGGACCTATAGGGTTTAGAGGTGCAGGGATTTGAGGACTTTTGGCGTTCATGTTTGGTGGTTCGAGGACTTTAGGATTTTGAGCTTCGCTACCCTCTAGCACTAGGGTTTAGGGTCCAAAGGTATGCCCAGCATGATGCCCAGCATGCCCACCAGGGTTACTCGGTTGTGCTAGGAATTATTTTGCTTACAGTCTGGATATTTATATATCGAGTGCTCAATGCTGGTTTTGGGATCCAGGAGGCCTGTGGATATTGTAAACTCGTGAACCCTGCTCTTGTCTCTGGGCTTCCCAGCCGAGCCTGTCAGCCCTAATCCCATCCCTCCCCAAGCCCTAAAACCCCAAAACCTTAACAAGGCCTTGCAGCCTGAAGCCTCACACCCCAGTTTAGGGTTTGGGGCTTCGAACCGTGTCGCCCTAGACCCTAAACCCTAAACCCTAGGGTTTTTAGGGCTCAGGCTTTAGGGCCAGGGTTCCGAACCTTAAACGGAACCTGACAACCTCGACCCTGAACCCTAACCTGTAGGGTTTAGGGCTTAGGGGCTTGGTGTTTCGAACCTTAAACTGAACCCTAAACCCTAAACCCTAAACTGTTTACGGCTTAGGGCTGAGGGTTTCGAACCGTAAGCGGAAAACCCCACAAAACCGAGACTTTTGACGCAGAGCAAAGGAGGCCAACGAGCTGCGGGATACCCTGCGGAACTACGAGCGTCTCGATTTCGAAGGTTTCAGGCTGTAGCCTGGGCCCTTCCTGGGTTGTCTTTGGGGAATTTTTGTAATTTCCCCTACTATTTTGTAGAGAACCATAATAGTAAATAATTTTCGAAGGGCTTAAAGCACAACTTAGCTTCAAGAACCCTACCTGGAAGGGCTCCCTTATTATGATTTTTTTATATAAGTCTTCAAAACGTTAGGGAGGGTTTAGGGGTCTAGGGTTTGGGGGCTTTGGGATTGAAGGGTTTAGGGGTTCGGAGCTTCAGGGAGAGTTAAGGTTTTTTGGCGATTTAGAGGTTTAGGGGTTCGGGGCTTCAGACAGAGTTAGGGTTTGTTTCTATTCAGGGATTTAGGGGTTTGGGGTGTCGGTTTATGCAGAATCCTCTCGGGGGTTTGAGTTCTCAATAGGGGGGTTTGGGGTTCTCGAGGTTCAAGGGATTCGAATTCGCAGGGTTTCAGGTTTACACTCGGTATCAGGGATTTCAAAGCATTTATAGTGATTTCATGTTCTGGTTTTAACCCTTGGACGCTTGGGGTTTGCGCCCATGCGGTGTTTCATGCTATATCGGATCCTAACTGCCCTCTCTTCTTGCCTAACTATCCAGAATTAACGGCTATGAGGAGGGATTTCGGGGGGCAAGCTTCTACTTCAAGAGCCTAGGGGCTGTGCTCTCTCGAGGACCTTCGATGCTCTCTGGGAGCCTGCCTGGAACTTTCCATACGACGAGGCGCTCCACAACTTTCTCCTTTGGCTTTATCTTCGCCTGCATCACTCCTCAACTGCCCCAAACCCTCAACCTCTAAGTCTCAAACCCCTACATCCCCAACCTCTGAAGCTCACACCCCTAAATAGACAAAATAGATCCTCAACCTCTCAACCCTGAGCCCGAAACCCCTAAACTAAGGTCTGGTGGCTCTTCGGGAAGGTTAACCTTTAAGCACATTTAGAAGGGAATCATGATATGAGAGTTTCCGGAAATAAGGGGTACCTTAATTTGGGCTCCTTATTGTAAGGATCCTACTATTTAGGGTACTATATTAGGGTCCCCTATTTTCGGAAACCCCCATATGGAGCCCTGACGAAGCAGCTTTTGCAGGGTCTCGGTCTAGGTAGGGTTCAATGTAGACCTCTCGTAGGAACTGTCGAGGGGATAGTACAATTGGGGCCTGTAAGAAAGGCGGGTTTCATTAGTCAGGAATCTACATGGTCACATGCTCAGGGCTTATCAATCCTAATTATATATTACAAACACAAACCCGCAAAGCCCTATAAACCCCAAACTCTAAAGCCCGCCGATAAGCCTCAAGACCTTCAACGCCCGAAAAACCGCATTGAGGAGTAACATGGGGGCCTGAAGAATTACCAATACTATTCTGGGGGCTCCTTATGATAGTTACAGTATTACATACCCCAAGACCCTATTCCAATTATTAAGGCCCCTAGATTAACTCTGGGAGGTGGTTTCGAGCCATCTCCTTGGCAACTGCTGGGTGCTGACCGGGCTGCTGCCGCATGGCGCGTGCCGGAAGCTGCGCCTTGGCAAGCCTGAGATCTTGCTGCATGATAGCATCGTTTTTTGTGAAGAGGGAATTGAAATATACAGTTCCGATATTTCTGATTATGTAAAGGGAGTCGAAATACTCATGGCCTAGTCGGAACTCATGAGTCGTATACACAGTGAGCCTACCCCCTTAAGCCCCATATACTCAGGGAGACAGACAGACGGAGAGAGGCGAAGCTAGAAAAGCAGCAGTTTGAGTATAAGAACAGACAGCCCAAAGCATTTGCTTAAGCCAGACCCCATTCCGAGCTTAGGGTTTTAGAGTATGTAATTGAGGGCGACAGGTTTGTCGGGCCATGCTGAATCGCAAAGACAAAAGCTTCGATGATGCACAGTGTTACTAAATGTGTCCCGCTTGGAAATAGCAGGACCCTCATTGTGATTGATGGCGACGCCAAAATAGGTGCCGAAGTAGCTAGATTGGAGTCTCAGCAGCTTTTATGCAGTCCAAACCGCCGGCAGTGTAATATTGGCATCTTGAACGAACTAGGACAACAGGTGCGGCCCCCATGCCTCTCTTAGCTTATGACCATGAAACCACCTGTGCCCCAATCCCTACACCCTAAACCTTGAGGTTTAGGATTTCCGCCTCTCCTATTTGCAAATTCTGCTCGCATGACACCTTGCCTAAACCCTAAACCCTAAACCCTAAACCCTCCAAGGCTATTTGCCATCGGAAGCCGCGGCTTCGAGGAGGCAAGAGATGCGGCCTAAGCCTCGTAGGCAACTTCTAGATGTACCCAGAGTTTAGGGTTTAGGGTTTAGGGTTTAGGGATCTCCAACATGCCTTGAGTGAAGTGGGATCAACTTCCAATCCGCATGCGGACATCCAGCCAAGCCTCGCAAAAACCGAATGCATCCTAAGCCTGCTTCAGGGGTTAGAGTTCAGTTTGAATCAAGGATCTCCGAATCTCACGTTGGACATCAGTTTCTCAGGGGCTGAGTAGGTAACCGTTATATAACCTGTTGGGGCTTGTATGATCCTACTATAAATCAAAAGGTTAACCTCTTTTGGGCTAGGGCACTCAGCCCCTAAGGTTTTCAGAGCCTATACAGCATCCAATGTAAGGGCCGAGCCATGGATCTCCGCATGAGGAAACCCTGTTGGAAGGTCCGGGCTTCTGTCACCCAAGTGCCCCCTAAGGGTCCATGTGGGTGGTTGTCAAAAATATGGTCCCTTTTGAGGTACCCTAAATAATAGGTGCCGTATTATAATAAGGACCCAAAAAGGGACCCTAATTTTGACAACCACCCATGTACCTAATTAGTATATACTTTGGCCTTAAAGTAGTCCCTATATAGGTACTTGGGGGGCCAAAGTATCTACTATTTGGGTACTTGGACCCTTAGGGACCCAGTTGCAGCGAGCATTTGTCGATGGTTTCTCCAGCTGCCTTACCCATAGGCCCCATAGTAGTTCCTTTTTGGGGATTCCTATTTAGAATCCTGTAAGGTATAGCCAGCCACGACAAGTGGCCAGAATCCTATCGGCTCTAAGTACCTGCTTAGATGCTCTAATTGGAGGATCATGGGACTTAGTAAGTAAGGTTATAAGTCCCCTAATTGGGGTTATAAGTATAGTTACCTTAATTATAACCCTACTTACTAAGTCCCATGATCCTCCTAAACCCTAAACCCTAAACCCTAAACCGTAAACCCTACTTACTAAGTCTTATGTAACTTTATGTAGGGCTAAGGCTTTCAGGCCCTTAAGCCCTTAACCCTTAACCCTATAAGCCCCACCTGATGCTGCCGAGAGGACTCAGGCGATGCCAGTCGCTTTGGCGGCCGCTTGCAGAATTTCGGGCGCGTGCCGCCTGGCGGGAGCTTCTGTCTTCCATACGGGTGGTTGTCAAAATTAGGGTCCCTTTTTGGGTACCCTAAATATTAAGTGCCGTATTGTATTACGGACCCATAAAGGGACCATGATTTTGACAAACACCCATACAAGTTGAGGGTGAAGGGTTAATCTAGCCTTTATTAACAATTAGAGCACGGTTTGGCGGGGTAAATCGTACTATAATTATAATAAGGAATCCCCAAAAGCCTATTCTAATTCTTAAGACCCCTACGTTATGGGTTTACGATTTTAGGTTGAAGGGTTCAGGGTTTAAGTTGTGTTTAAAGTTTCGAGCTCAGCGCTGCGTACCTAAATGCGGGTTGAGGGATGCAGGACTTAGTGTTTTGGATTCTATACTATATATACTAAAGCACAAACTTTGGACTGTACCTGTAGTCTCCATTGTAGTTCCTTTTTTGGGGTTACTTTTTAGGATTGGTTAAGCCCAACAAAAGAACTACAATGGAGACTATAACTATAAGCCCTAAACCCTAAACTATAAACCCTAAACCCTAAACCCTGAACCCTAAACCCTAAACCCTATAAACCCTAAACCCTAAACCCTAAACCCTAAACCCTGTAAACCCTAAACCCTAATCTCTGAAATGCCAGCTACACCGTGAGCCCTTGGAGACTTTGGGGTCTGGCCTTTAAGGTTTATCTCGAAGACTAAATTAGGGGTACCTTATTTAGGGGTCCTTATAATAAGGATCCTACTATTTAGGGTACTATATTAGGGTCCATATGCATCTGGGTGTGAGTGAGACTTGCAGTTTTAGGGTTTATGGGTTTAGGGGTTTAGGGGTTTAGGGGTTTAGGGGTTTAGGGTTTAGGGTTTAGGGGTTTAGGGTTTATAGGGTTTAGGGGTTTAGGGTTTAGGGCTTTAGGGTGTTATGCCAGAGGTTTTGTTGCCCGGATTCGGATGTCCTTCGCAAGCCGCAGGGTTCTTGGGCGGTTGTTCATATGTTGCTTTCGATCTGTAGCTTCTACAATCGGCCCGATCCCCTCTCACCCTAATTACCCCGAAGGGACGTCCAAGCATCGCGACAACGAAACTCCCAAACCCGAAACCTAAAACCTAGTGCCTCAAATCCCAAAGCCTGAAGCCTGAACTTTGAAACCTTGCAGAACTCTTGTAAAACCCGAAGAATAGGCCCAATAAAATAAAAGCCGCACTAAATCAATCTAACCGCCGCAGGCCCAAAGGCTCCATGTACCTTTATGGTAGATACTTAGGCCTTAAAGTACCTATACAGGGACCCCTTTAAGGCCTAAGTATCTACTATAAAGGTACATGGAGCCTTTGGGAGAGAGAGCCACCAGAGGCTACGCTCGGATGACGAGCCTCTAGCTGATCTCATCTGGAAGCGAGCACCTTCGGCGCACGGTTTAGGGTTTAGGGTTTAGGGTTTAGGTTCCGTATTTAGTTCAGGGGGCTGTTCTAAATCAGCTGTGTATTTTTGTGTGGTAGGTGTTGCTTTACCGTCTTGTTCTAGGCTTGGGGTGAAAAGGGAAGGGCTCCTTGGGCTACCAAGGCCTCACCTGCGGCCCAAACGCTTCTACCCGTGCCCCCGGGCTGGCGTGCTGTAGCCCTGGACAGGGGGGCACAGAAAGCACATGAGGGTTTGGTTACTATAGGGACCTCAATATTTACCAATACTATTTTGGGGGTTCTCTGTTATGATTATACTATAAAGGACCCCAAAACCTTCTCCTAATTATTAAGGCAACTATGTTAGCCACTGTGTCCGATTTGGACGGGCACTTTTCGGCTGAGTGAAGACCTGCAGGACACTCGAATCACCTACGAAGAGCTCACGTCGCAAAGCGCAGAGACCGTGGCCGGCGACTGGCGAGCGGACAGCCAGGACTCATTTCACATAGGAGCCTGATTGACTACATGAAATATGGCTAAATGGGGAGTGTGCTAGGATTTGGGTGACCCTACTTCACATCAGGCCCCGGCAGGCCCCACAAGTGTACCTTCCATTACAGCCCACGGGGATACAGCCGAAACGGCACTTCTGGTATATAACATACCTGGAGATTGGCACTTGGAGTGCTGTCCTTCCAAACTCCTGAGCCACGAAGTCGAAGTTGTCTTCTGGGTTCAGGATTTATTATAGGGGCCTTAATTGATAATTACCTATTCTATTTTTGAGGTTCCGCATTATGAATTCATGAATAAATACAGTATAGTATACCTCGAAACCCTATTCGAAGTCTTATCCAGGCCCCTTCATTACGTGAACCCTAACATAAAAGCAATGCTATCAAGCAAGGAACCCTAAACCCTAAACCCTAAACCCTAAACCCTAAACCCTAAACCCTAAGCAAGGTTTACGACGATCGCGACGACTTTCGGCCGCTTTTCACTTTCATACTCTGCCTCGGTTCTTCTGCGGCCGCTCCAGCGCAAGGAGGTAGGGAGTGACGTATATATGCTTTGAGGTCTTTGAAGGATTTAGCGGTTTAGGTGGCTTTAGGGTTTAGGAGCTTTAGGGTTTAAGGTTTGAGGGTTTTAGGGTTTGGGGCTCGGGTTTAGGGTTTAGAGTTTCGGGTTTAGGCAGGGTTTCGCGTGTGGGGTTTGGTGCCCGGGATCCTCTCCTCTTCGGGCTTTCGATTTCTGACTTTCTGTGGAAGCCCCTGATCCCATCGGCTCGGGGCATTCCTTTTGCACGAAGGCGGAATCCTATTCCGTCAAGCTGACGGATCCGTGCCTCTGGCGCCTGGCAGCGCAGTGCTGCTTCCCCGAAGTCGCTGGGCTTGAAGCCGAAGGTCCAACATTTTGTTTGGAGGTTTCCAGGGCTGGTGGCAGTGATAGCATGTTGAATTAGGGTGCAGGGTGTAGGAATGTGATGCAAGGCGCAGACTCCGTAAAGGTATATAGATGTCCCTTTCCATGTTGTTCATATGGGTGCCCTGAGCCCCTGACTGAAACATCCCAACCTGAAGGCAAGGCGAAGCCGATGTCGGGCTCGATTGGTTTGTTTGCGTCCGTTGCCGTGCGCCTGAGGCGACAGTTTCCGGTATCAGCTCCTCCGTGAAGCTCCGAACACGGTGGCGGCCGTGGCACACATGAAGGCGGCCACAACGGAGGAGTTCTCGTCACATTTTGCATCGATGAGGAACACAAGGATAAGATTTTCTTGTTGCCGGTAGCTCAATTGAGTCCCTCAATATCAAAATCACGACTCAACCATCCCTTTGAGGATGTTTGCGTAAAGGAAAAGATAGAAACCAGGAGAGGCCGAATTTCTTGAATTTTTGTAGCTGGCTCCAAACGTCTACTTACTTTCAGGGCCCGGAAGTAACTGCATGAGACGGCCTCTAAAGTAGCTGCTGGAGGTGCTCTTTGGGCCGGCTGGCTGAGGCGATGAACTGGGTGCTCCAGTCGGCGCTGCATATGGCTGAGCTGTCATGACTGCCATGTGGTCAAGAATCAGAATGCGAGGGCGCCAACCCCAACTGAGGAAGTCGACCAGAAGTGCGAGGGTTTTGCAAGGAGAGGCGGAGACAGGCCAGTACCTCTTCAGACTAGGTGCAGCTGATATGAAGCATCTGCTTGAGAGCATGGCTCGTTGCATCGCCGAACGGTGCCAAAGACATGTTGTCTTCTTTGCTATTGCTGGTAGTTGGCTGCTGGGCCATCACTTGGCTTTGAAGCAAGTGTTTGCAGCACAGAGTGGCAACCCGAGAGGAGCATCTGGTGTTGCTGAAGGACAGGTTGATATCATGGCGACGCAAAAAGCCGGCCATTGGTACGATAGGCTGTTCCCTATGGAGGTGGCGGCCGAGGAGAAGATGGCTTGAGATCGAGCCCAAGGTTTTGCCAAAAGCTGGCTGACTTCTTCTTCAGACTCAGGGTTCGAAGGCACAAGGCTCCCGAGCCGCGCCTCCTGAGGCGTGTTTTCGGAATCCGAGTTTACCGCAATGCTTAGTTCCGGCAGCTGTGGCCTGCGGAAACATGATCGTCCTGTTTGTCCACGCTTTTTTGGTGTCCGGGGATTTGGAGGGCTTGTCGACGGCCCGCTTTGGAGAAAAGGGCGGAGAAGTTGAAGAAAACAACAGACTTGCAGTGCCCTGCGGAAGATGATGGAACACTACACGCAAGCTGTACGATACTTGGCACACCTCCTGGCCATCGTAGTACCGTGTCTCTTGCACGGCACGCAACGGCAGCCGGACTTTGTCACTGCAGTCAGGGACTCCAATACGGAATATACCTTTAAGCCTTAAATCATATTAGGGATCCTACTATAATGTAAGGTATATTCCTTAATTAAGGGGTATTGGAGTCCCTGGGCAGTCCAGGTTTTGGTGGTCGTTATGCAACATGTCTATCCGCAGGCTGGGTGGAAAGAGCGCACCTCACCTTAGACACGATTCGACTGCGTACGGCTGGATTATCAAGACCGAGCGGAAAAAAACTGCCGGGTTTTGCTACATGGCCGAGAAACTGCTGGTCTGATCGGAAACTCGAGCTCTAGAAATCCTGCGCGAGCAGATACTACAAATCCCGCCTATGGAAACACTCACAATCTTGGGGCGATTGTTGAACAAGTGCTATGGTAGTGCTGTAACGTCTGCACGGATACATGCCTTAGTCTTCGTTGGGCACCCTTCTGGACGTACTTGGCCCATTGAATATCCCTTTGATTCGGGTTGTCGGTTTTGGGCCGTTTAGGATTTAGGTTTTTGCCCTTTTCCTCACAGCCCCTCCTGTCGGTGCAAGTTTACCCCAGGTGCTTTCAGACGTACACCGGCTGGCTGGCGTGACCCTGCAAACCAGCCTTTAGAGGGATTCCAGCTTGGTAGCTGTTTTACCAATACTATTTTGGGGATTCCTTATCGTGGTTCTAATATAATATACCATAATATACCCCAAAACCCTTTTCGAATCATTGAGGTTACTGATTTCAGGATTTCGTCCTCCATCCACGGGATCCTGCTTCTTTCGCGAAGAGAGCCTCGCAAAGACTTCCGCCGATGACCGCCAGACGGTCAGCCACAAACCTGCAGCCCTTGCCGCATGACACGCGCATCGATGGCAGGTACTCTTTCTTGGCACAGGCCATCCAGCTGAATGTGTCGCCCTCATCATGCTTCGACTTCCTTGTAGACCGGCGCTGCTCCGTAGGCTGAACAACCCTAGAATCTGTATGCCCTAAAGCCCTCAACTCTGTAAATCCTACAGCTTCTTTCGAGGACGCACAACCATATGCTTCTATCCTTCGCTACCTTATCCGGAAAGGCTGTTCAGGAATGCAACTTTCGCTACCAGAACGAAGCAAGCATGTTGTTTTTATTGGGGCCGAGTTTCGGAGCCAAATCCCTGTATCCCGAGGTCATGTTGTTCATGTTCAATGTCTTCTTCCCGATGTACCCTATGGCACCTTGGCGGCAGCACCTGGACAGATCTTTCGGAGAACCTGTGTTGAAAAAATACGTCTGCTCTGGAAACAGGACGGCGCGAAGCTCATCGTTTGCTCGCTGCAGCTGCCGACGCCTCGATGTTTCTTTCGCAGGTTTAGGTTTCTAGGTGTCGATGTTTAGGGGATGTGGCACCGAAGAGAAACACACGGTAGCATGGAGTGTCGTGAATGAAGCATGCTCGTGCCTATAGTTACCACTCTAGTGGGAGCACGTCACTCCTGGTGGTCATTTGTGTAAGCACATTCATCTTCAGGCCGTAGCTCCTGGGTTGATGGGTTGGTGTGTCTTTCTTAGGGTTTAGGGTTTAGGGTTCTGTAGGAAACATGGGGGCAGCTCAACTCAGTCATTTCGGATGGCTTCGGGCTGCTGGAAGTCTGAACCATACGAACTGCGACAGGAATCCCTCATCGAGTGTAATGAGAGTTATCCACCAGTTGTGGTGTAAATCCTGTGTATTGTGTCTCTTACCCCCCGCCCTCCCGAGTTATCTACCAGTTTTGGTGTATATCCTGTGTATTCTGCCCCTGAGATTGTTTACAATAGTCATCCCTCTTGCTATTGCGTTTTAAGCCCTTTGCCTGTGAAACGACTCCTTTGTTTAATTTGAATGTCGCTGAGCTCTTGAGCACTGAGCCTGATTTTGATCCACGATCTTTCATGCGGCACCGCAGCTTCGTAACGCGTCTTCCGTGGCTCGCACACGCCGGTGGATCGTACAGCTCCGGATGTCGGGGTGGCAGGCCAGGATGACAACAGTGCCAGATTTCGTGGTTTGCTAGTACAAGTTACTGTCCATTTGGCTGGTAAGGCTGCGCTATAAGGAATTCGAACATCTCTCGTGTATGGGTTTGAGCCTTTAAGCTCAGGCCTCGCAAGCTTCGAAACAAGAATGAAACACTCACCTACACACTCAGTCACTAAGACAAACAACAGCGAACAAGAGCAACAGTGCTGATGTAGCAACATCAATGAAGCTCATGCTGACTTGATATCGTAGTCGTGCGGACCATTGTATGATTGGCATTCCCTTAAGACTGGTATATACTAGTAGCAGACCCTTACGCAATTCCATCAGAAAGCCCAAAGCCCGCTGGCCGTTGGAGCATCTTTGAAGCGATGCCGCCGGAAGGTCGTGCCCTTGGCACTTTTGTTGTTTTGGGGTTTAGGATTTTGGGCTTGTGGGGTGTTGGGTGTGGGGTATAGGGGTGGGAATTACAGGGCTTAAGTGGTGTAGGGTTTTGGGGGCTTTTGGGTTTTGCTTGAGGGCTCCAGAAGGAGCTATTGGGAGTTTTGAGGCGGGTAAGGGGTTTTGTATAGGACTCTGGAGTTTAGAGGTTTAGGGTTTAGGGTTTAGGGTTTAGGGGCTTCAGGGGTGGAGGGTCAGGGCTGAGGGGTTTCGCATTCAGGGCCTCAGGGAGTGGGGAGTTTGGGGTTCAGGGAGGTTTGGAGATCGACTTAGGTGGGACGTAGGTCTTGGGACTTGAGGGGGTTGGGATCTAAGGATTGAGAGAGTTTCAGGGTGTAGGAATGTAGCTGTAATTACAGGTTTTAGGTTGTTTCTTAGGGGGGGTGTATTTACTACTTCGGGGTTTCGGCGTACCGGTTTGCCACCGGGGATTGACTTCTTATGCAGGGCAGGTTTTGGTGGGCGTAGGTGTTATGGGCTCGGTGTTCAAGAATCCGAAAACCGAACCCTACAGTTCAGGCTTCAGCGCTTCGAAGTCATGCTGATATAAGGTCTCAACTCCCTTACGGCCTCTCGAGGGTCGGCTCTTGGGACTCACTTTAAATCCTAAGTCATAGCATAAGGCATAAGGCAGAGTCTTGATAACAAGACCCCCCCATACATGGACCTAGGATGATGGCCCTCAGAGCTGGCATTCTACAAAGGTCCCTATGTATATGTAAGCCCCCGACTGAAAAGCTTCATTAAAGCCTTTTCAAAAAAAAAGTTATGAGGCCTCAAGCCCCGATTCCGAAACCCCAAACTGCTATCAGGACGGCCGCCCGGGGATCTCCGATCGAAGCTTGCTGCGAGGCTTCCGTTGCCCTTGCTCCCTTGGCTTAGGGCTCCGGGTTTGAAGCCAGCATGGTTTGGGATAGGCTTCTGAGAGGATCTAGGGACAAGGGCTGGGTGTGAGAAGCGCTAATATCTCGGAGCTTGATAAGTGCAATGGGGTTCTGGAAGGAAGATTCAGGCAGGCTGGTGGACTACCATAACTACGTATACTTGGAAACCCTCTATGTGACTGTTGAGCTGTATAGGTGTTGTCTCACACTGTACTTTGTTTGTTCAAGCTCACAAAGCGTGAGCACTGCTGGAGATCCACAGCAGTCCGACAAAGAGAATATGCACTGTCGTAAGACATAGGCATAGAACTCTTCGGTGAAACATCGGGCTATGTACGGCAAACATTGCGGCCCTTACTGCCGAAACCATTCCCCCCCATGCATGTGCCAAAATTCACAAGAAAAACGCTATGTAGGAGTCTTCGGAAGATTGACGTCTACAGAAAAAGAGTGAGCGATCCTCTTACCCCAGGCCCGAAAGCCCAAACTAAACAATCCTAACTGGCCCGACAATCACTAAACCCGTAACCGCAAAAAAACATGTAGCACAAACCTAGAAGGGCTCCTGCAGGGATCCTGAGCAGAGCTACTATAAGGGTTCCTTGCAGCGTTGCTGCAAGGGCTCTTCTACAATGTGAAAGAAGCCTTACACCCTGAAATGAATCCTGAACCGTGGTGGTTGCTCTACGGGTTCCTTCGGGGAGAAAGGTTCTGTGCCGCGAGGCTTCGCGTTGGCATCCTCGGGGGGACGGCCTTCGTCAACGCGGAGTCCGAGGAGCTTGTCAAGGTTCGTTTGGTAGGTCTTGTATAGGGTTTCATGAGGGTTTTATTTGTCAAGGGGCCTTTCATGGGGCTTGCATGCGGGGTGTGTTAGGTTGGGGTTTTGGGATGTTGAGGTTTGAGGGTCTGGGTTTCTCGGGCTTCACACGATTGGCATCGCAGCTTCAGTGCGATATAAACAGAAGACGGAATAATCGGCAGAGGCTGATGCTTCAGGCGGGGCTCCTGACATTGTCGCTCGGGATGTTGGTCGTGAGCGTTGAGGGCCGTTGGCTGCTGCATGCTTTTGTGTTTGAAGGCTATGGAGTGCTAGAGCCGTGCAGCTTTGAGGTTGAGGGTTTAATTCATCAGACTTCAGGACTGTGGACTGCGCGACTAGATTTTGTTAGGTTTGTGTTGACTTGTCTGCTCGAATCTCCGAAAGCCTCCACCGATACCGACTCGAAACCTGAAGCTCGACATGTCCAGCACTGTCAGCTTTAGAGTCAGAGCCCAATGCGCCCGAAGCCCTCAATCCCAAACTCTAAACCCCACGGCAACCCTTGATACAACCTCAGCCTTGTAGCCTGGCTGAAATGAATCAAATGGTTAAAAACTACACTGCCTCTGAAATCCTGCGACAATAACCACTGCGAGGCTCCAGACCAAAACCCTGTTAGCACTCACTTTGAACCCTGCGAAACCCGGGGGTGACCAAAAACGCCTCAAGCCCCAGTTGAAGCTTTAACACATCAGAAAGCCCTTGCAACACCTGTAGATCGCCTTACAACCCNNCCCCCCCCCCCCCCCCCCAAGGACATATTTTTTGAAACGAATGAGAACCTTGGTAAGCTTAGGCCCTGACCTTCCCCAGGCCATAGCGTCCGGGACTCGGTTCTGCAGCCGACCAGCGGCGGCGCGGGTTGTGGAAGGGTGAAGCTGGGGCATGGGACCTAATTTTGAGCTCTAGTCACTGGTATATATCCCTTAATTGTATCCGGAATCCAAAGCCCGAACACCCTAAATATGACCCGGGCCCTGTTAACCTCACAGGTTTGAGCTGGATCAGCGCTTCGAAGACGAGAGCCTTCTTTACCTCACCTGCGGCCAGCAGGGCATTCAGGATCTTTGGGTCTCGCATTTGGGTCGGGTTAACCTCATTGTTTGTATGATAGGAATTATGGAGTTTCTGGCTCTGGGCTCTTATGGGTTTCGGATTGGTGGTTTTGGAGACTCTTGGGGTTGCCGGCACTGGGTTGGGGAGCTCAAGGACTAATAAGGGTTAGTTCCGTTTCAAGTCTGAGAAACTTCGGTTGTGGGTTTCGATGTTTCATGTTTTGTCTTTTGGATTGAGGGTTTGAGGTTTGTTGAGCTTGCAACATTGCACAGACAGCAAGGGTCCAGAGAAAGGTGCATTCAAAGCCTTGCTGCCAAGTCTCGCGGAGGAAGCCCCGGAATCGCCAGCCAGAGCTTCTATAATATGGGGGCCTGAGTAAGTTAGAACAGGGTTTTGGGGTATCTTATCTACAGTCAATTTAATGTTTATGTGTATATGACAAGAGGGTGTTCAGACCCCAATCGCCGACTCTATGACAGACTATGACCAGCCCAGTATCTTAACTACCTGACTGTTGCGTGAAGCCACGACAACCCAAGGGCCAGCTCCCCCAAACCTCCGAAATCCCTAGACCTTTTGCTTTGATCGTTACAGTAAGTATCCGACCCTTATGAGTCTACATTTCTTCTTTCTCACTGACTATATACCAATGCCAACCTGATGTTCACAGAAGCATCATAGAATCCCAAACACCCTTGCCTAAGTGTTGCAAGAGGAGGTCTTCGCCCGAAATTGCGGCAATGGATCCCAGATCAGGCGCCTCTTTGGGAAGAGGTTTCGGGCTTAGTTAAGGGTTTATGGTTTAGGGTTTGGGGATCTATACAGTATTTAGGGATCTGGCTACTCCAAACCTTCAAGCCCGGCGTCTTCCTGGGACATTGGGAGAAGCGCAGAGTCGGATTTGGTCGGGGTGCAATGTCTAGATGAGGGCTGACGACTTAGAAGCCCCACAACCAAAGACGTGACCACACCCGACACCCTCAACCCTATATGCCCCATAAACAAGATTTAATCTCTTGACCCCACCTGTTCCAGGAATCTTCTGGTCGCGGGCTCTGTCTGCCAATTCCGGGCCGGGCAGGCCGCAACCGGAGCCTTTCTTTCTCTCTGCTTTTTTGTGGGCGAGTGTATGCAGGGCACCAAGCATCCGAAGCACCCAACTTCAAATCGCCGACCTCCAGAATCTGTCGTTGTTTATTGCAGGCACATCTCGGCTTGTGAAAGCTCGGCGTCTATTCCATAAGCATGGCACGCCGTGGGTTTGTGCCTCTGGGGTGTGCGCTTGCAGCAATACTGTCGGCAGGAGTGAAGCCTTGGCAGAGACTGGTGCCAACACAATGGCCACTTTCTGTCGGGCGGCAGGCAGTCACAAGTGAAGAACCACCCCAACGAAGGTTTCGGTGGGGAAGCGAAGCTGGATGGTATCGAGCCTTGAAAATACTGAAGGAGCGCTATGGCGAGCGGTACGATGCGAGCCACATGACATGGGCTTGGTGGATTGAGAACATTAAAGACAGTTATTCGACGATCGATGTGACCTGCAAGATATGCGGCCATCGATCGAAGAGCACCATATTGTGCAGCCTAAACCGTGGCACCACACCTGGGTGTTTCTGCAACAGAGGCGTTCCCTGGTCGAGTCGGGAAGGGCATGAGCGTTGCCTGTCGATGCTGAAGGAGCGCGGTGGCGAGCAGTACGATGCGAGCCAGATGACATGGGCTTGGTGGATTGAGAACATTAAAGATAGTTACTCGAGAATCGATGTGACCTGCAAGATATGCGGCCATCGTTCGAAGAGCACCAGATTGAACAATCTACAAATGGGCACCACACCTGGATGTTTCTGCAACGGAGGCGTTCCCTGGTCGAGTCGGGAAGGGCATGAACGTTGCCTGTTGATGCTGAAGGAGCGCTATGGCGAGCAGTACGATGCGAGCCGGATGACTTGGGCTTGGTGGAGTGAGAACACTAAGGATAGTTACTCGAGAATCGATGTGACCTGCCAGATATGCGGCCATCGTTCGAAGAGCACCAGATTGAACAATCTACAAAAAGGTCAAGCACCTGGGTGTCTCTGCAACAAGAAGACAGAAGCGAAGCTGGGACGGTGGTTGGTTTCGGAATACACGGATTCGATCATTACCTTGCAGGTGCAGGGGTGTACGAATCCAGACACTGGACGGCCCCTGCCGTTCGATTTTGGTCTGTACAACGATTCCGTTTTGATTGAGTTGGATGGTGACATTGGCCACTTCGGCCGTGGGTTCGGAGGTGATCCCGACGATAGCGGAGTGCCGCAGAGAGATTTTCACAAGGAGTACTGGGCGATGCAACGAGGCAAAGTTGTAGTGCGATTGGTGCAGACAGATGTGTACCGAGATTCGTGGCCTTGGGAAGACTTTCTGAATTCTGCCATCCGCCATGCGACTTGCTCGACCGAGCCTTGTGTAATCACACAAGCTGCAAAGGAGTACAAGCGCGGCGTCTATCGCAAGCTGCGCAGCGGCTTGAACTGCAAGGAAGGCCGCTTCCTGCCGAGCCGCATCCCGTACCTGAAGTATGGACTTGCCAGACCGTAGCCCCATGGGACAAAGCCACCCGGGGCTTGAAGCTGAGCCGCCTTGGTGATTCATCGAGTAAAACAGGGATGAGGTCTGAGAGTGCTTCATGCAGATCTCTCACCGGAGTACCAATTCTGACCACAGGTCCTGTGCTCGGGTCAAGCTTGATTGCGAAACCTCAGCTTACAATAGCTCACACACGTTGGCATTATCATCCGATAATAAGCCGGAACCAACTGCCGGCTCGGAGGACCTGATTGCTGCGCGGGACACGGATGCTGTGAAGCATCTCTTCTTAGAGGCCCCCTCGTGGGTTTCTGCATCCTTGTTTGCAGGGCCGGGCAGAGACCTTACGACTTTTAACTTCCGTGTGTTTGCATCATTTGTATCAAAGGCCAGCGGTAGTAGCAATAGCAATTGGTAGGAACGCTTGTTGCAGGATGACTGGCAGTCTAGATATGAGCGTAAGAAGGAGGTCTCTTAAGCAGCAGGTCTGGGGCTTGCTGTTGGAGAGGGCCTGAGGTCTTAGCATGAGGTTGGAACTCCAGCTCTGGCCATGAACCCCCAAGTGCTTGCACAGCATAGCTCGTGGCAGCCTCTTCAAGCTGTGGACCCTGAGCAAGATCCGAAAAACCTCCTATAATGGAGACAATTCCGAGGTTGATCAACTGCAAGCAGTGCTTTCTGTCGTGCTTCAGGTCGGCGACGTTTATCTCGCTGTTGAGGCCTGGGGTTAAAGATGCTAAGAGGCTTCGGATGAAGGGTCACTCCTGTTACAGGAGCCGAGCCATGCAACAAGTTAGAAGTGTACAGTTCAGGTCTTATGTGAGGTACATCAGCGCTTTGATCTCTTGTGGTTCAGGGTTGAGGCTTCAAATCATAGCCGGGACTGCTGGGACCGGGTGCTGAGTTTCGGCAGCGTCGATGTTTAACCGACTCAGACTAACGGACTAGCAGCGCAGCATGAGTCACGTGATGTTGGGTGCGTGGTTTGGCAGCCAGCATTGGTCGGGAGGAAACCCTGGAAGTTCCATTCGCTATGCGACTATGCGAAACTCTGCGATCTTGCTACACCGTGTAGACAACATGTGTCAACTTAAATCCAGCCCCAAAACACGCAGTAAGATCCACGGCGTTCAAACCCTAACCCATGCAAATCCACCCCTTCGTCAAGTAGGGGCTAGAGCTAGAGCTCGACGCAAGACTCTCGCCAGGGCGGACCGGGCGTGGCCCAGGACGCCCGGCGCATCCTCGCTCGAGGGGGCGCAGTGCTGCCGCTGAAGCGAACAGGCCTCTAATGCTCGCAGCAAGAACCCCCACGGTGCCTTTTGACACCAATCATAGTGTTATAGCAATGCTATCGACGGAAACATTGAGACTATTCTGAGTCGGTGCCGTCTGAGCCCCAAAACCGGGCGATTCCCCGTGCCTCCCAGCACTCGAAGCCCACGAATCCAACACAGTCCCTACACATTGTGCCGCTGTAGCATGAACCCATCGAGCATGACAAAATGTTAGTTTTCCATCATCTCTTTGCTAATCATGCTGCTAGAGCCAGGCAGCCCAACAATGTGAGTCAGCCCGACAACACCAAAACCAGGTCATCAGATAAGCTCAACATGCCCTTGCAGAACATCAAAGCCGCGAACAAGACAAAACACGCTTAAGATGTATTCAGGAAAATGCAGATACGTAAACAGCCTGTAAGTTGCAAGCATTCCAGATGGGCAGAGTGCTCAAGACAGCCCTGAGCAGGCGGCGCCTGCGCCGGGAAGTTCGACTTCCCTGAAAAGGCGCTCAGTCGGCCAGACTGGGCCACGGAGGCGGACTCCTGTTCTTGGGACTCTATTGCTGTACAGGTTGCGGCTTGTATGATTGACATCTTTGGCTTCCGTGTTATCAGCATACAAGCATTATTGCACGTAGTGTTTTGAATTTTCCGCCTTGCGGAGTGCCAGGGTGTGGCGCGTGTCACCTGTCGGCTTAGGGTTTGGAGTTCGAGATGCGGTGTGCAGGACTCGGCAAGCTGTTGAGACATCGTAGTAGATCCTAGCTTGATATGGGGGGGTCGGCCTAAACCCTAGACCCTAAACCCTAAACCCTAAACCGAACCGATTTTCTCCATCACTGCATGAACTCTGGCTTGGGATGTCGGGCACTTCGACTTTCAGGGCCTTTCTCACATCCCTTGACAGGAGCAGTGGCAGCATGTCTGCCGCAGCACACCACCCAAGGATGCGGCCGTTGCGGTGCCCGGGAGTCTGGGTTCGTTTTGGGGCTCGGGCTGATTTGGTCTTCGGTTGAAACAGCGGATGGGCTTCTTGGGTTGTAAACATGATGCATGGAATTGCAAGATGCAGACGTACCGCACCTGTGCACAAACCCTACATCGGTCTATAATGTAGTAATCCATCATTCCCTCATAGTCTCTGTGTAGCGATACTCATGAAATACCGCAGAGCAATTACTCGAAGTCTTAAGGCCCCCATATTTGGTTGAATATAGAGCCCTGTCATGGAGGTGGCTTCCATTCTGGAAAAACTGCTCGAGGCCGCGGGTTACAACTTGACGTTCATTCGTTCTCCCGTTTGAGAGTTCGCCTGGAGACAGAAGTAATGGACAACAGTGTCTTTTATAGACTTCTCTCTCTCTCTCTATATATATATATATGAGTGTATATACATATCTATATATATATATATTGGGTTTAGGGTTTAGGGCAATTTAGGACAAGTTTCGGGTACTGTTTGTCTGGGTGCGGGGAGTTGGGGAAGTCCAGCTTGAGGGTTTCTTGTAGGCTTCGAGGTGTCTTGGTCACCTTGTGGATTGACGCATCTTGGCGATCCTGGGCGTCTTTGGGGACCGTATAAGACTTTAGGACACAAATCTAAGTGTTCAGGGCCAAGAGAACTCTGAAATCCAGAACTGAAGTCATAGGAGAGATCGTAGCTTGCAAGGTTTGCGCAACTCTCCCCCTCTTCCGAAACTTTCTTCCAGCACTACACGGCTGTCGCCTCCTGTAGCCCTCAAACCCTCGCTGAACCCTTAAACTTTCAACCTCTATAGTGCCTAAACCTGATAAAGCCTCATCCCTAAACCCTAAACCCTAAACTCCTGAACCCTAAACCCTAAACCCTAAACCCTAAACCCCTAAACCCCTGCACCCTATACACCCTAAGCCCGAAGCCTTGACTCCCAAACGCCCCAAGCCGTAAACCCCAAACCTACCACCCGAAGCCCTCAGAAGCCTTCGGTGACTAAGCTCGGGAAGCCTAATAAAGGCGCCTAAAATAATTACCTCTACTATTTTTTGGGGGGGCTCCTTACTAAGATTTAGTACAATATACCCCAAAACTCTATTCTAATTATTAAAGTTCCTTATTAAGATTACAGTATAATATATAATCATTAAGGCCCCTACATTAAGTCTCAACAGTCCCCACAGACTTTTGCCAGGTGAAGGGCCGGACGTCCGCGCTTCTTGGCAGCCGGGGTTTAGGCTTCCGGTCATAGAGCAAACTCGAAACCCTGAACCCCGAAAATTGATCTCTAAACTCCGCACCTTCATCCCTAAATCCTGATTTCTACACTGTATAGTTATGAACCCTGAAGCCTGAACCCTAGACCCTAAACGCATTGCAAGCCCAGGGCAGCTTCGACCCTCGAGATCGATTCGGTTGCCGCTGCCCAAGTGCGAAGGGATTTTTTGGATCCATAATACTACAGACGACTAGGCACAGCTGTATAGTATGGTTTGCGGTATCTGGTAGTGATAGTATCACCGTAAGAACAGCGACAATACTAAGCTACGCACCCTATTAAAAGCCCCATAAGCCCTAAACCGCGGAACCCCCAAACCCTATAAGCCTTCATAACATGTGGAGTAGCCTGAGCAAGAAATCCAGAGATCTCCAGGGCCCCCCCAGTTTGGATTCTAAATGTTGCAGAGAACTTAGGGTTGAGGACCATAGGCTTCTGAATCAGGTTGCTACCTTAGTTTAGGGTTTAGGGTTTAGGGTACCTTAATCCGGGGTCGCAGATTTGGGGCTTTTGGTCGGTTTGGGCTTCGGTTGGGTGTTTCGCGGTCACTTGTGACGTGCAGGTTGGACGGTGGTTTCATGTTTTGGGCCAACTCGTGTTAACATGTGGTGGCCGATTTCTGTTTGCATGTCAGTATACAACCAGGTCGCAACGGAACCTGCTGTCAGGGTTTTGGAAGCTTGCTTGGACAGTTACATCGGGATCGACGAAGGTTGTCCGTTGGCTGCTCAAAGGCGGAGATGAGACTGGCCATGGCAACTGTTCGGCTCAAGCTGCCATGATGTTGCAATCATGGAAGGCCTGTCTATGAAGCTTGGGCTACATGTTCATGATGCTCCACATCACATTCAGCACACCTCGAACAAATTTGTGACGTGAGCCATGCAGATCCGGACAGGGCGCGCTTTCCAAACTGCTTGTGCAGCTGTGTTGCTTCTGGGCATCTGTGAGGCAAGTGACTCGTGTCCAGAGTATGGCGATATCCGGCAACCGTCGGTGTCCCCCAACATGTTCAACATCTCCAGTTTCGGTGGTACATGGTACATGGTCGCTACAACGGAGCCGACGATGCCTGCCTTTTGCACTTGCATTCACAACGAAGTGCAGGTACATGAGTCAGAAGGCTGGTATGCTTACACAAGCCACGCGACCTGTGAGGGAAAGTTCCCCATCTCGGTGCCTGTGAAAGGAGAGTTGTCGAAAGACCCAAGCAGTCCGGGGCTGTTGCATGAAAACTTTGGTTTGTTCAACCACACCATGAGCAGTCTTGATCCAAACATGATCTTCGAGGCGCAGTACGACGAACGCGGTGAGATGGTGTTAGCCATGACCTACGCATGCTTGGGGAGGCTCCTGCCCGTTCCTCCAATCGGGGAGCCGAAGTTCTCTTTCAACGTTTCTCGCTCGTTGAGTGGGTATCCTTTCCACGTTTTGGTTTTTGGGCTAGCTTGATTCCGAATGTTTTTGATACTTTATACGTAGTTCCGCAAGTAAAGCCGACACCTAAGGTGTTGTCTCGTCGCAGAAACTGGACTACCAGCGAGCTCCGCGAGCTTGTCGCGAATGCCACCAAGGCCACGCAAGGCTTGTTGGATGTGGCCAATGTCCGCTTTGCAGACAAACAGACATATGATTCCTGTACCTCAGACATCATTGTGTGAGCTGCTGTACAGTCCTCACGGCATTTCTTTATTAAGCACTGGGCCTAGCACCCAGCACACCTACACGAGAAACATTCGTGTCCGAGTGGTTGCACTGCGGCGAGCCTGCAGCCACGACCGAAATCCAAGCACTGACGCACCCTAAACCCTAAAGCCTACCTTAAGAACCC